GGATTTAAAGGAACTTCTTTGACCAGTATGAGATGTCTTGGCATATACTCACGATTGATATTTCAGTGGTCAAGTAATTCGTTATGTTGATGAGTACTTTACAGTTTCCTTCGAAAATAACCAAAGTAAAGCCCTGTAACCAAACTTGTTGGATTGGTGCGAGTAATGATTATATTTCAGCTTCTAATGGGGAACTAGCCTTATATCGATCCCCAAGCTTGGATTGACTTATGATGATCCATGATGAAGCATCAGAATTGCATTTGACAAGAAAACGAGGAGGAGGAGTCCATCCGGTTGACAAAGGCCGTGATTGTCTTTTATTTGGATCCGGTGTTGTTTGGTGATGGAAAATTCACACAAAAAGAACATTGAATTTAATTATACAAAAAATTTCAAGTTTCAAAAGATTCATAGAAATTTGGAAAGCGAGAGAAACCTTAATTAGGTACGTACGTTCTGGATTCGAGAAACTAGTTTTGTCTTACTTAATGAAACTCAAACAAAGAAGCTTTAAGAGCTTGCGAACAATCTCTAAAAAATTTGTAAAATTTGTAGAGTTAAGGTAGACTTACATAAGATAATTTGAGTTTAATGTAAGATAATTTGTAGAGTATCTCTCCTAAGATGAAAACATAAGATTTCTCTGACAAGATTCCTCCCACTGCATATTCAGGTGTAACATAAAGTTAGAAAATATTCCGACGTTGTCCCGTCAAGTGCCTATGCGTCATCTTCATTCCCTGGAAAAATCATGTCCAACTTTGAACTAAAAAGTTCCTCAAAACCTTGTCCCAATGCTCACGACAGTCTCTTCACAAAAAATCTCTTACCCTTAATTCTTATATCCCAACAGATATGGATTAAACAGAAATTCTTGTTGCGAAACACTTTAAGAGTCATACACTTACTTTGTCCGAGCTTATTTGTGAGAGAGAAATTCTTGTTGCCACACACTTTAAGAGCCAGTGATACAAATTGTGTTTTGATAGATACTTTGTTGCAACTGATATTGACAAAAAAATTAAATTGATGTTTTTGTTTCTGTAGATTCGTGACCTGAACAAGCAAGCTATCTAAAACTAGGGCAAAGGACGGAGACGTACGAACTAATTATACGCATCAATTAATGTCGAGTTTCTCGTAGCCACACTCCAATCTCTCCGGATCACGGATCCTCTATAATCCATGTGGAAGTATCGCAATGTTGAATCATTGGCATATGACATGGTGACAGATCCATTGGTGTACTCATCGCCTATAACTATGAACCTATTACTTTTTCGCTGCCAGGCTTTGAACCCGGGATAAGAAAGATCAGAGAGATCATAATAGCATTTAGCATGTGTGCTCCAACGGATTGTTAGTTATTTAATGAATTTATATTATACAAATAGATTTGCGTAAAGGTTAATAAAAAAAGATTTTCCGCTGCCGGGATTTGAACCCGGAATTCCAGTTTGAGTTCCAGTTTGAGAGAAAGTGGATTTGAAAGTTTAAGCAATGTGCTACAGCGGACTGTTTGTTACTCAATGAATTTTTATTATATATATATAGGTTTCATGACAAACTTAAGATTTTGTTATAGGTTTTAGGCCTGAAAAAAAAAATTAATATATTATTTCAAAAACTTCTAAATAATTTGAAACTTATAGAAAAATTTACTATATAATAAAAGGATATTTTTTGGATAAAAACTTTCAATATAACTAGGGAAAAATCCGGGGTACGCCCGGTATATCTCTAACATTTGACAATTGCAAAATGAGACTATGTATTTATTAAAAACTTATTGGACATCCATGGATTAATCTATTGATTGCTAATCAAATGCTTATATAGCAATATAGCTACACCATATCGAAATTCCTTCTTGACCACAACTCCCATCTGCAGTCATGAAGACTTTAGCATTGATATATTGTACTCAAAATCTATTTTTATTGATTTCCTATTTTATTACCCAATTTTGTTATTCAGGCCATAAAGGACAATGCAAGGCACTGGTAAAGTGAGAGGGAAGCTAGATGCTGACATTATTGATACTTCATTACACTCATATATTATTTAATTTACTTACCCTTCCTTTAATTTTCTTTTATTCCGATAAGTTGTCACTCACCACACCACCTTTTGATGTTCCTCTCCATTCTTCAGGCCAAGATCCAGTCCTAGAAGTTGTGTGTATTTCAGACCCATCTGGTAAAAGAATTCACATACTTGTTCTCTGGCTATGTCTTTACCCATGCCTTGATCATATATAGATAGTGCACAACAACATTGATGCAAATGATGGCATGAATACTAAAAGAAAACAACATCTATAAATGTCTATAAATTTGAATGGGTCTGCCAAGTGCCAAAGAAATTGCACATCAAAAGAGTCAGCCACTACAATAAACGATCTAATTGCATGGACGTTTACTCTGTATTTGTTCTACAGTCAACAAAAACTATTTACCTTGAACTTTCACATATTAGATTAACAAATAATTATTCTTAGACTTTAGAAGAATATATATATATATATATATATAGGGTTTAGGGTTTATATATATATTTACGTTACTTATGATAGATTAAAAAAGATTAGAAAGGGAAATACTTACGATAGATCTTTTGAACTCTATCCCCTCTAATAGCCCTTTTCTCTGGTCAAACCCACACAACGACCGAAGTCCACTTTTTAGATTCAAACATCTGATTCGTGCGGAGAGGCCTATCAACAAATTCTATAGTTTGTAGGAATATTAGATGAACTGGAAATATATGGAAGCTTTGAAGATGACGACTCTCCATATTGCTGCAGTCTTGTTTACTTATCAAAACAAGTAACTAAAGAATAGAAGATAACAAAGACAAAACTCAACAGAGACCAAAGAGAACAAGTAGCTAGAGGCCTATGAACAAATTCTATAGTTTGTAGGAATATTAGAAGACGTAGCTAGAGAACAAGTAAACAAGTAAGGCACTCGAACTGATCATACAAGTAAACAAACCAAAGAGTTAATAATAAAACTTATCAAAAAACTAAAGAATAGAAGATAACAAAGACAAAACTCAACAGAGACCAAAGAGATTAATAGACAAAAGTGGTCGTATATAAAACCTAATAATTACCAACAAATTGTGCAAGACTCAAGTCTGGAGTTTTTGCAACCAATTTATTATACCATCCATATATAAGAGTAAAGTCGGATCAAAATATGATTGAAAAAGGAGAACAAAGTCAATATATATAATTAAAGACTTTGATATCAAATTAGCGTTACCGCGTTTTCAATAAAAACAAATTTAACCAAAAAAGTTTTCCGCTGCCGGGCTTTGAACCCGGAATTCAAAGCTAGATGAAGAGACCTAGATGTTGAGTTTAAACCAAAGTGCTACAGCGGATCTTTTGTTGTTATTTGAATTTAGAATGTATTAATTTAGATGAATGTGAATATTTTATTTCCAATTTAAGATTTTGTTACACATTTTAGGCTTACATAGAAATTTTTTTTATATATTATTAACATCTAATCGATAGATTTGATACGTGTCTCAATTATGCGAGTTGCTAACTTTGAAAACCAACCTTTATATAATAAGATATATAATTAGGTGCAACATTATGACCTAGCAACCCGATTCACTCGGCGGTAACCCCTCTATAATCGCTTAAAGAAAATATCAAACGAAAAGTCATAATGAATTATAACAATTTATAAATTTTTTTAATAATAAATCAGTATATATTTTACGAAAATTATGATAATGAAAACCTTCACAAGCATTTATTAAGTATATTAGTATGAGAAAAACATTAATTTGTAACTAAAAAATTATTCTCATGTGCAAAAGACATCAAATAAACCAAATGTTACAACGGTTTGATAATTAAGCCAAAATATTCATTAGTTCGACTAATAAACCAAATGCTACTATGTTAACGGTAGAAACAATTCATTTTAATATATTTTAGTAATTGAATATTTTTTTCTAAAAATGACAAACTTTAACCGAGAGACTCGACCATATATATCAAATATATCCAAAGTTGCAATGGTTCATCAGATATACTAAAGATTACAACGGTTCCTAAATCAAAACCAAAAGTTGCAATGATTCGTCAAATAAACCAAATGTTGCAACAATTCAATTAAATGGTTACATTTTAGTAATTTAAAATTTAGAATTAAAAATAATAATTTATGAAAAGTTACACCGACGATAGATGATTAAATGTTATAACGATTTATAAAATAAACTTAAGGTTGCAATTGTTTGTGAAATACACTAAATATTGCAATGGTTCAACAAAACAGTTGCAACCATTTTATGAAGATTATGATAAAAAGATACAACTTTATAAAATATTTACTCGGATTGCAACTTTCTCAATAAACATAACGTAAAATATATTTTTTAATTTAATAAAAAAATAAACAAAATGTTGTGAAATACCAAATTTGCAACGGTTCATCAAATAAACTAAAGTATACAACGTTTCGTAAAACAAAACCAAAAGTTGCAATGATTACAATCTCATTTAAATACATTTTGGTAATTAAAAATTAAAAATTAAAAATAATAGTTTATGATAAGTTATACCGAAAGACGCAACGGTAGATAATTAGATGTTATAGCAATTTATAAAATAAACCAAAGGTTGCAATTGTTCATGAAATAAACTCAATATATAAACCAAAGGTTTCAATTGTTCGTGCAATAAACTAAATATTGCAATGATTCGAATAAGCGGTTGCAACTGTTTATGAAGAGTAACAATAAAAAGACGCAACCGTAGAAGATATTTAGATTGCAATTTTCTAAAAAACATAACCGTAAAATATATATTTTAGGTTTTTTAAAAAAATTAATAAAAAATTGTGATTAAAAGACACAACCGTTCACAAGTGCAAAAGGCATTTATTGAGATTGCTATATATATATATATTTATAATATACATATAGATTTGTGTAAAGATTTTTCTTATAGTTAAAAAAAAAAAAAGATTTTCCGCTGCCGGGATTCGAACCCGGAATTCCAGTTAGAGGGTAACTTGATTTCAAAGTTTAAGCAAGATGCTACAGCGGACCGTTTGTTAGTCATTGAATTTAGATTATATATATTTAGTTAGGTTTCATTACAAACTTAAGATTTTGTTATAGGTTTAAGGCCGGAATAGAAAAAATTAAATAAATTATTTCAAAAACTTATAAATAATTTGACACTAATAAAAAATCTACGACATAATAAAAGGATATTTTTTGGAAAAAAAACTTTGATATAATTTACATTATATGCCTTGTAAAATTTATGGAAATCCGATCCTAAGCATGATGTAAATTATTAAAGGCAATTCTAACTAAACTAGTCCAATTCTCGATGGAGCAAAGGTTGTCCCATACTCCCATTGATGTAGCCTTCGTAGAATGTTCGAGTAAAGCCATTATCATGTATTGTCTGAAATTCATTGTTTCCTTGTTCAATTCCGCAAAGCTGCAAAGTTGAACTCTCTTATATGTAAACAAAAGTTGAAAGTGCATTTGAAATGAGAGATGTACCTGAAGTTGGAGGAATGATGAGATGCTTGGGAGAAATTGAAGGACATTGCTCTTTAGACGGTTTCTTATAGTCGTCAGAGATGATAGATTTTGGTTTCAAGGTTTTCACAAATCTTATTTTTTTTTTTGGTTAAAAAAGATTATCCAATCAGAGAGTGCCACATGTACGGTTCTCTGAATTACTCAAACCTCTCTTCAGAGAGTCGATTCTCTGCTTTAATATCTGTTTTGATTTATTTTTTTTCTAAGTGAAGTCAAACGAAGGCTCATGTTCAAAGGGTGGGAAATTAGAAGCCGTGTTTCGTCGAAGGGGTATTTAAGTAAATTATCACACTAACTAACGGGTAGAAAGTAAGGAGCCTTTACATTCGATTTCGAAATTATTAATGCCTCTCACATGACCACGAAACCCTCTAAATTCTTCAACCTCTCTCTTTCTCACATAACCACGAAACCCTCTAAATTTTTCAACCTCTCTCTGTTTCAAATTTCAAATTCAACGTAATCGGAGTCTCTTCCATTGATCGGATTCGGGAATTCAATCGTCAGATACCTTTTTGCTCCGACGATGATGTAATTTTTGATCGGTACGGTACGGTAAGGTGGTTTATCTGATAGATTAGAGAAAATGGTTTGATTGAACCAGATGGTGATTGTCGCCGTCGCATGGTTGAATTTTTACTCCGACGAAACACACGCAAATAGATCATCGGAGTAACACAATAGCTTTTTCCGATCAGGTATTCAATTCTCAACCTCTTATGATTATCGTTTTTAGGGTTTAGTTTGAAACAATTAGCAAATTAAGGTGATGATCGATCATGTTCGATTTTGAATTATAAGTGTATATGTAGAAACTGTTTTTATTTAGTTCTTATAGTCTTTTAAGGCATATTGCTTAGTAAATCTCTATTTCAGAGAGCATTAAGAGTCAAAAAGTATTGAATTTTGTATTAGGAGAATCTTGTGAAAGCCAAACGTTTTCTTTGTTTCCAGGTGATTATGTTTCAGTGGAATGTTCTTTTTTGGCTTACCCTATTTTTACTTATATTTTATAGATTTTTGGAGGTTTTGGGAGATCGTTTTCATACTTTTGAGGCTAGCAAACATGCAGACTTTGTACGATGACTGGTAAATTTCTTTTTTATCTGTAATTTTTTTTTTTGTTTTAGTTCAAATATTTGTGCTGATTAGGTTTCTTGCTAATTAGGTTTCAAGGGAATGGATTCTTATGCCTCCAAAGAGTAATGCTGTGGAGACAATCTAAATAAAATAATGCATAAGCGATGCATAAACCCAACGACCATACATTCTATTTGCTGTGAGATTTTACTTTTCAGGTCTTTGTTTTTGTAAGATTGTTTCTCGACAATCAAGTATCTTATTGAACAAGCGACTACTTCCAAAATGGTTTCGTGTACACAGAAAGAGGTAATTATTCTGTATCATTTTTGTCTTATATCTACGATATTTGGTATGTTCGTTCATAAGTTCCAGAGAAAAATGACTGGATCAGGTGATGTAATTTTCTTTTTCTGTTCTATCTCCTTTCTTCATTACTTTCTGTTTAACTAGTGGTTGACTAATGTTGTGTAAGTGATTTCATGATATTGATGTTCAAGCTTAACTGTTCAGTTTATGATTAATGCTTATTGTTCCCACTATGATTAGGATGTCTCGGAGTTTTGATATATATGTTTTGTCTTATGGAGGTTGCTAGGTATGTATAATTCAACTTGATCCATTAGTCATTTTTTTCGGTTCTTGAGAACATCAATGGAGCTATTGCTATTAATCATGTGGTTATTGTTCTGCCCTTAAGGAATTTGTAGCTAGTAAGAATCTGACCTCGGATGAACAAGAGGAACTCAAGGTTTCTATTGAAGTCTTCTAGTTATTCTTTAAGATGGTGATTACGCATAACTTTAAACAGGTTCCATAATCAAATTTCAGCATCAAATATCCTTTAGAGTGTATATGAGTATTTCTTGTCCTTTGTTGTTGTTAGTGTTGAGTGGGCGTCTGTTTTCTCACTTTATATTGCGTGCCTATATGTGTATTGTAGGCTGGTCTCATTCCAGCATTGCATCACATACAATAGGACGCTAGCTGCACTCGCTCTTACACGGTGAACTAATTTGCACAACCATACGCTCTTCTCTACACTATAATCTTAGCCTCTCTATGATAGGTTCAAGAGTGGGCTAGTGTGAATATAGACTCTGACAAATTGAAGGATTTCATGTAAGTCGAGGTAAACTTTGTTTGTTAATGTCTTTTCTTATCTTGTTTTAAAATCTTTTCTCACATGCATAATAATTTTTTTAATATGTTAATCGTTTAGTTACGTATTTATTTTTGATGGTTGAACATACTTTTAGATTGAGACAGGTATATTCATAAGTTCCAGAGGCGTTTATTAGCCAAGAGCAAATGGCAATCATGTGACGCGTTAACGTGAGCTTGCTGCTGGGTCTATCGTCTCCAAAATTTTTGATCATAACTCTCACAAAGGTAAACTTAGGTCACAAGTAAGTTTAAAACGGACACAGTGTTGCCCAAATATTATAAATAATTATATTTAATGGCTAAGTGATTATTTATTGGTAAAAAAATTTGTATCTCATTCTTTAAATTTCAGAGCTATAACATGCAAGGGATCAATTTGAGGTATGGAATTGTATATTCCGAGAGTTTTTGTCCACTTGGGATGAGAGCCAAAAGTTTTCTCAATACTACTTCAGTTTAAGGTAAGTGGTGCATCATGTTTCTTTGTCATATAACTCATAAGGAGTCAAGTAAAGTAACTATATTTCTTGTCTCATGCATATGCACAGGTCTTGAGTTGCAAAAGATATGAAGGCAACCCAATGGTACAGAACAAATAAAGGGTCAGGTAAAAAAACTCTTTGTGTCTCTTCTCATGTTAAAACATCTCCACCACACAAAAACTTTTAAAAAAGAAAACTTCACAAACACAACACAATCACAAAAAACAAACACAACACAAACAATAAACATAACAAAATCACGAAAAACAAACACAACATAATCACATAAAACAACAACAAAAAAACACTCCAAACAAACACTTGTCACTAAATTAACAACACAAATCTCCTCACTCAAAACAAAAAGTTCACATGCCAAGAAATTCGACACAAAGCTCGACAAATTCAAAACAAGAACTCTCATGGGTACTTTTCTTTCTAAACCAACTTCTTCTTTTTTTGGTCATCCGAAACTACTTAGAGCTCAAAAGAGTTATTCCTGGGGAATGTTGTTTACATATGTGATATGAAGCGGTTCTGTACGAACTTTTTGTGCCAGATTATCCGCTTTAACATTAACTACGAGAAATTAAAGATAAAGAGAATGTTGAGAACTCTTCATTGTCTCACTGAAATTCCTCCAAATACACTGAAAACGCCGGCCATTCGGTTGGAAAAGACACCATCTTTACCAGATCAAAATAGTCTGTAAAGAACGCCACCTCTTGATTATCTGCACAAAATTTGAGAATCTAAGACCATTTCTAATAATTAAGAACCCATTTGTTCTTAGCCTTGGCTAGACATGTTAATTAGGGCCAAAGTCCGCGGGCTAACTCGGCCCAGTCCTGAAAAAAAAGCAGGTTCCGACTTTAAAATATATATCCAGAAAAAATCGGATCTTTTGGACTAAATGTTTTTTGGGCTTAGCTCGGACGGGCTAGCCCGAAAAGCCTTTTAAAAAATATTTTGACCGTTTTTTGGTTAATATTTTCGTTTAATTGAAATATTTATTTTTTAAAAAAAGATTTGATAGCGTTGGAAGCCCTAAACTTACTTTTTAAATTGTGTCTTACTGTAAATTTAAAAAGAAAATATTGGCTCTACTACCTAATTTGAAGTATTTTAATTTTATATTTTATTTGGTATGAGTTTAAACAATTTATTTGAATTATCTATTTAATTTTAAACTTTTTAAACAAAATCAGCGTTAATGGTTATTTAAATTTCGATTGACTCGTTTCATACACATATTCTTTTTTTAAGAGATATTATAAATTATAAGTTTGTTTTTTGGTTGTCGGAAGAAAAGCCCAAAAAAGCCCGGAATAGCTCTGTAGCCCTAGTAGGGCTATGGGCCTGGCTTTAAAATATAGGTTCAGAATTTTTACGGGCCGGGCCGGACTAGCCTGATTGACATGCCTAACCTTGGCTCTTGGCATTATTTAAATTTTTTTTTTTTTTTTTTTGTAAGTTAGGAATACAAAGAGAGTATCTTAACAAAATTGTCCTCCAATAGTTAAGAACCAATAAATCCATTGGCTCTTAATGAAAAAAATTGAAAATATTGAAAAACAATGTCTTTCTATACAAGCATTCATACAATGACCTATTGCTAAGCATTCATACACACATTTATAGAATGACCTATTGCTAAGTAGAGAACAAAGATGATCTACACGTCGCATGGCCAAACCAAACATGCAAAGCAAAGATGAAACTCATGTCATTCTCTCCAAACCCTAAACATAAATGAAAC